ACAAAACTAGCTAATTTGTTGTATAGAACTACGCTTTGTTTATCACATCAAGAGGAAACGGATGACGAACTGGGTCTTCACCGCGACGCCGTGACTCGAATTCACGTACTACGAAACGCACAGAATCGCTGGCAGATGACACACGACGAGGACTTCGGATACACGAGGCTGAGTGTGCGATCCAGCAGTTGTGGGAGGAGCTCCACACGTCCATTAAATTGAGGCGCATGACGATGACGTGACGCCTCTAGTAGACCCGCAAATGTTTGTAACTGCTCCATGAAACCCTTATGCAGTACCCCCTCTTTTTCACGTATGCTAGAGCATGTTCCAAGCTCCAGCCATACCCTTTCATAGCGTACGCTATCACTGTGGATGAACTGTGACTGATTCCCTTTTTGCAATGTACTATGCAAACCTTACCAGATTCTTTTACCTGTTTAGTGAAGCTGTACGTAAGGTTCCAATTGTTGAGAAGGTTGGTACTTGCTTCATCGGATACTGAGATATTTACATACATGAAATGCATCGGAAAGAAGTTGTCCACTTCCCGCGTCATATTCAGAATATACCCCACATTATTTTGATTCAGCTCCTCCAAGTTGCATTCCATTCTGTTCCAAGCAAGAGGTATTGGAAGATACGACTTGGCTTATCCATTTGACCCAGTATCACTTGTAATAAACCACATAGCTCGGACGGAAACAGGTCGGAAAAGAAGGGCGTTGTTCGCTTTATTAAATGACCCTTATACAGCAGCCCCACCATCTCCAACTAACTCGACGCGACTGCACCATAGAAGCGGTAAACAACACATATCGTCATATTTCCTTTGTAATAATGCATTCCAATCACTAGTGTTAGCCTCTACATCGTGGGTCGATACTACGGCAAGATACCGAGCGTGGTCGGAAACCTGGGTCTGAAGGCGAACTTTCGTGCTCATTTTTTGGACGTAAACTCCTGAGCATAAGTTGAAGATGACCTTTGATTTCTGCGCCATTTGACATCTTGATGTATTGCTTTACTAATGTCACAGCTATATTGAGAAATCCCTGAGGGGAGGGGTCGTATTCGAGTCGCTCAGAGGAGGGGTGAATTCCTGGAAGGGGTTCCCACAACTCTGAAAGTTGTTGGAATGTGCGATAGATTGTATTCTGGTGCGGAAGTAGTTGATAGGTGATCATCGAGTTGCTCGAGCGGGCGCCAGTCACGTCCCTGAAGCGCTAAAGATCACTAGAGTCATGCGTTTCGGGTACGATTGCAGGAGCAGGCCGATAATCGAGTGGATTCTACGGGCTAGCGATTATCTGGACAACCGCCTATATGGTGGTCAGGCGTTTTCGTGGAAGTTTCGAACGAGTAGTGCGATGCTCATCGTGTCCCTCCAGCGAGTAAAACCCATCGGCCAGCTCTGGTCCTGATCGCGCTATTACAAAAATAGGCGCCGTTTGTCTTGGTGGGGGTACCGAATGGCAATAGAGACCTGTGAATTTCTGTGACCGAAGTGGCTCACTTGTACTATTTTACCACGTCACAAGAGTTTACAGTTCCTAGCAATTTCCAATCTCTTATAGTTAGCTAACTTGAATTTGTTGGAGGAAGAACTCACTCGTGAACCTTTTCGTTGTTCAGTTTTAGTTGTACTACCAAGAGTTTGTTATCCTTAATCAGCGGGTTTATGTTGACGGCTATGAATAGCCCAGTCCGGTTTGGATCCCATGCGGTCCCGTGCGCTCGCCGCCCCTCTTTTTCTCTCTTTCTCTGTAATGCTGCTGCGATGTTTGCCCTTCGCCATGCGATTGCGCTATTCTGACGCACTCCTTATCTTTTCCACCCGAAGAACCTTATCAATTGACTGCTTGCCCTGTGTATAAACTCTTTATTTTTTTCACCGTGTTGTGTATCTGTCACATGGATTTAGAGCGCTTATATTTTTACTTTTTCGTCTTCAGCGATCAGAAAACAGCATTTGAAATGACTTTAGTCTCACAATCACTTGCCTTCAGATCTGCTGTGATCAATAGGGACTTCCTTAGCAAATATGTACTTTTTGGTTTTTCAGTACCTTAGTATTGTCATGTATGATTACTTCGAGCCTCAAACCTTACTCTAAGATTTCCAAGTTGCAATCAAGAAAACGTTTTTTTACGTTTTTTTTCAACTTCGTAGCACGAGCGGTGGTAAAGTAGCGGTGCTTTATAGATTGGAAAAAGGCGCTGTTTGGTTCAGGAGAGCATTTTGCACTTCCACTAGTTCTTTACGCTAGTTCATGTCAACTAACGAGGTTATACTTTGGTGAGACTAGTAAGCTCCTGTGAGGCTACGAAATAGTATAAGTGGGCCACTTTGGTTACAGGAATTTGCAGGGTGGCGTGAATTATAATAGTTTCGCGAAGCACCATTTGGTGCTCCTACCGAGCCGTACTGCGCTTTATGAACATTTTGGATGATTTGACCTCAGAGTAGAGATTTCAGGGATAGTATACACTATTACCGATGTGAAGGAGTTACACGAATGGATGGCTCGCCATCTGAGCGAGCATCCTTTGTTTGAAAGACTTACAAAAGAGGAAGAGGACAGTGATCCCGTTGTGCCACTTCTCTTTGAAAGGTGAGTGGTGGCATTTCTCGTCAAGGTTTTCCACTTCGATTCATGAAAGCATCCCAAAACTTCTACCCGGTCTGAATTGTTGTGGAACAGTGCCTGTAACTACTGCGCTATCTTCCTTTGGAATTATTTGGCTAAAAATCTGCTTGGGTGACAAGTTTTTTTTTCAACGCTCTCTACGCTTTGTCTATTATGCTTATTATGCACGCGTTTCATATTCGCGAATTCGCTTGGAGCGGTGAGGGGGGGGGGTGGGAGAGAGACAGGGAAGGGCATTTGACGCACTATTTGTGTGAAAATGGTTTCCGTGGTAGGAGGAGTTTTCTACAAAGGCTTGGGTGGTGCCTCAAGTTGGGTGAAACAATTTCTTCGTCCAGGAACAGGCTTTGTTTGACATCAGTCTCCACCAGCGGGTCCTTTGTTCTCACCTCCCTGGCAGAATTGTGCGAAACGGAAATTATACTACCTTTTCAGCTCCCCCAACTTTGAAAATTTCATTGAATGTATGTTTTGCTCGTTGACCAATATTTAAAAGTGTTTAACACAGCCAAAAGTCATGACTGTCATTTTGCCGACATTCAGGCGGAAGTGGTATAGAAGCAAGTGGTACGCTTTTCACGTTTGGGTCCGGCGGTCAAATCCTGGAGTGCTGGCTCCGCCCGGCCATCCAAGCCTTCTACCCGCGCCCTCGGGGAGGTAAAGTGGTAACAGATTCTGGAGGGATAGGAACAGGGACCTGTAGGTATGCTGGCCCCCGCAAAACACTATATAGGCCACATCGCATTCAATAAGCCACTACGATTCTGAATGGAAGTAGAATGCGTGCCGCATCCCAACAGGGATTGATCAACGCCGAAGAGTTTATCCTTTTCACCATTTATCCCGCCATTCGTCTGTTTAGTTGGGTGAAATTCACTTAACATTTTTACAATTCAGCACTGAGGAAGGCCAGAAAGTGTCTCGAAATGATGGTGACAAATATATGGCTGTATTCAGACGAATAGCTGATCCAAGCTGGTGATGTTGTTGGCAAAAATGCTGTATGAGTATTTGATTATGTTTCTGTTGTTTTATTAGCACCATAATTGTTTATTTGTTTGCCATTTTTGTTGTTTATTATTGTTATGCTGTTAAATGTTGTTGTATGTGCCGCGCTGGATAAAAGGTATTTTCAAGAAGTGTACTGGTGGCGAGGGTTTGAGCCTATGTACCTCACAGTTTTCCTATGAATAGCGTTTGTTTGCTTGACAATATTTGTAATTCAATACGAGTCGATTTCAGCATGGGCGAAGAGGAGTATGAAACCCTGCCCACGCATAGTGTTGGGGTAGGCTGTTTTCATTTTGGCTTATCTACTTTGTTTAGTAGGTTCTTTCAAAAAGGATCCTTTTAGGTTCACCTAGCCGCAGGTGCAGCAGCTGGCGCTGTGGAGCACTGTGTGATGTTCCCGTTTGATAGCGTCAAGACACGGTTACAGAGTTTATGTCCTTGTCCAGAGACGAAGTGCCCTACACCTGTTCATTCACTATGGAATATTGTGAGAAGGTAGAAATTCAACCAATTTATTCGTTGTTTTACTGGGCGAGTACTGCTGCTCGATTTGGAGGGAGCTTTGCACTGGTCAGATCTGTAAACAAAAACCTCTTAATAAGCGAAATGTTCGGTTGGGCCACTTTGGTTGCAGCAGTTTACAAGTCTTCAGAAGGTGGCCTCTACAAGCCCAGCTTACCATTAGTACAATACTGTGCCCATACCAAGCCGAATTGCGCGGAGGTAATTTACTGGCTCGGTAAAGGGTCATTCAAACGGTAACGGTGCCTTGGTAACTTTTGCCACTCAATTTAGTATTACTGCACTGTAAAAGTACTCCAGTCAAAGTACAGCCATAGCTTTATGACTTGGTGGTCCTGCATTAGTCATGTGAACACTGACTCGTAAGACTTTATAGGATGCATGTGTTACGCACGTGCGGAACGCATGTTTTCCATCTTTAGTCTTTTTGTTAGGTCTATCAGATCACTGAGCGCTTTTTTGAAACGTTTTCTCGCGTTTTAGGGACAAAAACGGGGTTCACGTGAATGGAGTCACTCAGTCCAGTTGCTTCTGGGAACGTTACAAAAGGAGTGACAAGGTTTTCTGGGAGGAGTCAGTCAAGCCACCATAGCGAAATCTATCTTTTGTGGCGTTTTTAACTTACAACATAGAAGCTTTTTATTGACTGTACTTTGAAAACAACGCAAGATGGAGCATTAGTGACAAATAAAAACGGAAGTTAATAACTTCGGGAGGAGGGGGCACGCATGTGAGCGCTTGTCAGCATGCCAAGTAATATAAACAATATACATTTGAGTACCAGGCAACCTTGTCAACGCCCTGTAATTTGACATCACCTGTCAAGCCCCCTGTGAACTCCTGCCAAACTTGTCAAAACGGCTGGTCAAGGTTCGAGAAAATAGAGTATTGGCGTCAGGGCATGCCATCGTTGTGGCATCCCAAGGGGGGGGGGTCGTATTTGACCGCGAGAGAGGGGGTCGTATTTGGTGTGAAAGAATTTTTTTGATAGTTGATTTTGGTTGTTTCACGGACGCTATAAGGGGGGAGGGGTCGTATTCGGTCGTTGTTGGGAGAGGGATTGCCAAAGATCTATACAACTACTTTTTTCGATGGTTGAAAAGAGATGATAGTTGAATCCTGCCGACTTCCCCACCCCCCTCAACAGCAAAATTTTGGGGGAAAAAAACCAGAAATTTTCGGGAAAAAATGGGAAAGTGGTGGAAAGTTGGAAAAATATGGGGTAGTGGTAGGTAGCGTGAGAGGCTCTTATCTGGGGATGGAGTTAGGGGGCTGATGAGTTTTGTTGGAAATGCTGCTTTCTGGGTCGGCAGTCACTATGAGGAGGGATTGTCTATGTTCTTATTAGTTTCACTTATTTCAGAGAAGGTTGGCTTCGGCCGTTGAGGGGAGTTAATGCTGTTGTAATCGGATCAGTGCCTGCACATGCCCTATACTTTGCCGTATATGAAAAGACCAAAGTAAGATTTAGAATTCATGGAGCTTGAAAGATCGTATTTAACTCTATAATTAGGGTTACCTTACGGGAAATACAGCTGGTATGTCAAACATGTTGTCATATGGTGCTGCTGGGGCCGTGGCAACCTTGGTACATGATGCGGTGATGAATCCTGCCGAGGTATACTATTTTCAGTTTTTCAGCGTCTAGTCCCTTGAAAAGGTTCCTGAGCAATCTATTTTTCACCTGTTCAAGGTCGTTAAACAGCGGATGCAAATGCAGTTTTCCCCGTACGGATCTTCCCTTGAATGCGTACGTTGTATTTATCGGAGGGAAGGCATGGCAGCTTTCTATAGATCTTATACAACGCAGCTGATTATGGCAGTTCCATTCCAATCCATTCATTTTATGACCTATGAGTTCTGGCAACAGGTACCATTTGTTCATATCCATATCGAACTATTTATAAACATACTACTAGTTTGTTGTCGCAGATCCTGAACCCGAAACACCAGTATGATCCAAAATCACATCTAATTGCTGGTGGTTTTGCTGGTGGATTAGCAGCTATGATAACGACGCCACTGGATTGTGTGAAAACTGTGTTGAATACGCAACAAACCCCAGAAATTGTATGTCAGAAGGAAATTCTTCTTAAGGTAAGAGAATATCATTGGCTTTGTTCTGCTTCTTATCTTAGCGCTGTGCTTTTCTGATGTTCGCTTTCAATGTAACATTCAAGAAGGCGTCTGTATTATTGAGTTCTGCTAAGTCAGACCACTGATAGATGAATAGATGGAGGAAGTTGGTAAGAAACTCACTAGCTGCGACCTCATGGTGGTTGAGCTGCACGAACTCAATCAAATTGATTCTCTGCGTTCCCTGTAGAATTTTCTACTTTTTTTTCTGCGCTCTCTCATATACATGGTACTATTCTATGACCACTGCTACCTCACGCCTTGAACTTTTGCCTGAAATAGAGCTCACCGACCAATGAATCGTATGAAAAAGCCTATCCAGCCTGTAAACTCTTAAAGTTGTACACTAGCACGAGATTTGTTTGCATGTGTCAAGAGTACACAGGTCTTACCAAAGTGAGAGTGAATAATATTAACTAGCGAGGAAAAATAGTGAAAGCGCGGAGTGTCCCCTCCCTTCCAGTCCTCTTTGAGCCGAACAGAGGCGCCACATGTTTCCATGCTTTGGCGACTTTCTTCAACCTGTCCATGCAATAGTCATGTCATATACAAACACTCTTTGATTTCTGTCCCCTCTCCTTTGTATAGCTGAATCATTGGGCACTTTTCCTTCTGACAACACCTCTCTCCTTCTTGGCTGTTCCTAGGACTTCCTTTTGATTCTCACATCGCATGACTTTACGAATATGGAGCATGGAATATTGCGTGATAAGTGAGAATGTGAGAATCAGGAGAATATGCGCAAAAGAATTTGTAAGTAATGATCCAGAGAGCTGACGTATGGAAATAATGCGCCTAAATTCTATTCTCATAGACGGAAAAACCCCGCGAATTATTCTATCTCAGACAAATCCACCGAGCTTCTATAATGATGGTGCGTCCCAACCAACCGAGTCATACATCGCTCACTAGAAGGATTTAGGAAAATTGCCCGGGAGGCGACCAATCGAGAGTTTCATCGCTCCAGTATTGGCAGTCACGCAACTGAGCGCGCATCAATAGCTAGTCGCAAGCGATTCCTAGGTCGTAATCGCTAGCCGTATTTAGTTAACATACAGCGCAGGCAAGTCCACGCGCGACGAGTTTCTCACCGGGTCTCGTGTCATTACGCCAGAAAGTAAGACCGTCTATAACGAGTTTGCTATACGTGGAGAACCACCAAGTGGGAAGATTTCGCGAACACGTAGAAAGCATGTTCGAGCGCTACAGCAAAAGAGACATCCGATTCCCATTTAATCGTTTTAGGCGCATTATTTCCATATGTCAGCTCTCTGGATCATTACTTACAAATTCTTTTGCGCATATTCTCCTGATTCTCACATTCTCACTTATCACGCAATATTCCATGCTCCATATTCGTAAAGTCATGCGAGTGAGAATCAACGCCTTCTTGAATGTTACGTTGAAAGCGAACATCAGAAAAGCACAGCGCTAAGATAAGAAGCAGAACAAAGCCAATGATATTCTCTTACCTTAAGAAGAATTTCCTTCCTGACAGGCAATTTTCTGGGGTTTGCTTGCGTATCAACACAGTTTTCACACAATCCAGTGGCGTCGTTATCATAGCTGCTAATCCACCAGCAAAACCACCAGCAATTAGATGTGATTTTGGATCATACTGGTGTTTCGGGTTCAGGATCTGCGACAACAAACTAGTAGTATGTTTATAAATTAGCTTCGTTTATAATACCATTTTCACTTTAAATTCACCCCTTTTCAAACCAAATTCACCCTTTTTCAAACCAAATTCACCCGTTTTCAAACCAAATTCACCCGTTTTCAAACCAAATTCACCCGTTTTCAAACCAAATTCACCCTTTTTCAAACCAAATTCACCCACCTTCCAAATCGCATTCGCCCACCTTCCAAATCGAATTCGCCCACCTTCCAAATCAAATTCACCACTTTTAGGCTGCGCAAGTCATCTACCAAATCACGCCGGACACTACTGCGGGCCCCGCCCCCTCGGCCACGCCCACTTGCTTTTTGCGGAATTTTGATATTTTTTCAAAATTATTGCATTTTTGGACTGCTGCGTGAAGCCCCGCCCAGTATGAGAGGCTCCGCCCACTTTGGAGAAGCTCCGCCCACTTTTCAAAAATGATGCAAGTCGGCAGTATAAGGTCTGATTTCCATGCTAGGGTCTCGTTTTCCGTCACTTCCGTTAACAAACTTATGGCCTAATTTTCTTGTCGGTGCGAAAGAAGCGGCCTAGCTTTGAAGCCCGTAAGACCTGATATACTGCCGACTCATCCATCTATTTTTTTGAAGGGGCGGAGCCTTCTCCAAAGTGGGCGGAGCCTCTCATACTGGGCGGGGCTTCACGCAGCAGTCCAAAAATGCAATAATTTTGAAAAAATATCAAAATTCCGCAAAAAGCAAGTGGGCGTGGCCGAGGGGGCGGGGCCCGCAGTAGTGTCCGGCGTGATTTGGTAGATGACTTGCGCAGCCTAATAAAAGTGGTGAATTTGATTTGAAGGGTGGGCGAATTCGATTTGGAAGGTGGGCGAATGCGATTTGGAAGGTGGGTGAATTTGGTTGAAAAAGGGTGAATTTGGTTTGAAAACGGGTGAATTTGGTTTGAAAACGCTGTTGGATATTTGTTTGAAAAAGGTGATTTTGGTTTGAAAAGAATTCGGCGACGTGCGCGTTGAAATTTAAATAGTTCGATATGGATATGAACAAATGGTACCTGTTGCCAGAACTCATAGGTCATAAAATGAATGGATTGGAATGGAACTGCCATAATCAGCTGCGTTGTATAAGATCTATAGAAAGCTGCCATGCCTTCCCTCCCGATAACAAATACACGTTACGATTCCAATGGGAAGATCCGTACGGGAAAACTGCATGTGCATCCCGCTGTATAACGAGCCTTAAAACAGGTGGACAAAAATAGATGCAGAATCCTTCTTCACCGGACTAGACTGCTGAAAACTGAAAATAGTATACCTCGGCAGGATTCATCACCGCATCATGTACCAAGGTTGCCACGGCCCCAGCAGCACCATATGACAACATGTTTGACATACCAGCTGTATTTCCCGTAAGGTAACCCTAATTATAGAGTTAAATACGATCTTTCAAGCTCCATGAATTCTAAATCTTACTTTGGTCTTTTCATATACGGCAAAGTAGCTTAGGGCATGTGCATGGCCACCTGCATTCGCATCATACAACAGCATACAATACTCCCCTCAACGGCCGAAGCCAACCTTCTCTGAAATAAGTGAAACCAATAAGAACATAGACAATCCCTCCTCATAGTGACTGCCGACCTAGAAAGCAGCATTTCCAACGAAACTCTATCACTCCATACCCAGTAATGAGCCTCTCCGCTACCTACCACTACCCGTATTTTTCCAACTCGTCCAACCATCGTTTTCCCAATTTTTCCCGAAAATTTGCTTGTTTTTTCCCCCAAAACTTTTTGCTGTTGAGGGGGGGTTGGTGGAAGTCGGGCAGGAGTTCAACTAACATCTCTTATTATACCAGTCGAAAAAAAGTGGGTTGTATACCTTTGGCAATCCCTCTCCCAACAACGACCGAATACGACTCCTCCTGCCCCCTTATAGCGTCCGCAAAACAACCAAAATCAACTATCAAGAAATATTCTTTCACACCAAATACGACCCCCTCTCTCGCGGTCAAATACGACCCCCCCCCTTGGGATGCCCCAACGATGGCATTGCCCCTGGGGGGGGGGGGGCCGGGGGGGGGGTCGCCAATACTCTATTTCTCGAAGCCTCTTACCAGCCCGTCTTTTGGTACACAAGTTTGGCAGGAGTTCACAGGGGGCTTGACAGGTGATGTCAAATTACAGGGCGTTGACAAGGTTGCCTGGTACTCAAATGTATATTGTTTATATTACTTGGCATGCTGGACAACCCGCTTCACATTGCCGAGCCCCCTCCTACGAAGTTATTAATTTCCGTTTTCATTTGTCACTAATACTCCATCTTGCGTTGTTTTCAAAGTACAGTCAATAAAAAGCTTCTATGTTGTAAGTTAAAAACGCCACAAAAGATAGATTTCGCTATGGTGGCCTGACTGACTCCTCCCAGAAAACCTTGTCGCTCCTTTTGTAACGTTCCAGAAGCAAACTAGATCTTGACTGTTGACTCCCTTCACGTGAGCCGTACTTGTCCCTAAAACGCAGCAAAACGTTAAAAAAGCGGCTCAGTGATCTGATAGATCCTAACAAAAAGGACTGAGATGATAACACATGCGCTGCCGCACCGTGTCGTTCACACATGCGTTCTATAAAGTTCTCAACGAGCAGTGTTCACATGACTTAATTTCAGGACCACCATCATAGAAGCTATGCGCTGTACTTTGACTGGCAGTACTTTTACAGTGCCAGTCCATATCAAGGCTCCGGTTTCCCCGGTTCAGTATGAAATGTCCGTTTTTCAGAAGTGCATAGTTCGAGTCCGTATCTAAGGCAAAACGCTCCGGCAGTCCTTGGTACTGAGTTTTGGTAAAGGTGCAGCCTCCCTCTTTCTTACCTTCGGTGGACCTCCGGCTGCCGTGGAATCTGACTTTTTTAGAAAGGTTTTTGTAACGACATGGACAAGTCCAAATTGCGTGTTGTCTTTTTGCGAGTACGAGTCTCGCCGTGGAAGCACCGCAGACAGGCAGCTTCGGAATATCCACGTCCCGTACTTTGGCAGAGGATGCCCTAACGAACAACAGTACGCTGACTGGTTTGCAAGAGTTTGAATCCGGCGAGCTTCGATCTTTTCAAATGTAGTTCGAGGTGAGGGATACGGCCCGAGTGCAAGCTGAACAACGATGAGCTTAAAGCCGTAGTGGAAGCTGATCCCACTCAAAGTACTCGAGAATTAGCGGCAAAGTTTGGAGTATGTAAGGTGACGATCTCGTCTCATTTGAAGCAAATTGGCAAGAGTAGGAAGCTGGACCGTTGGGTACCGCACGACTTGAGCGATCGTCAGAAGAGGGTCCGCCTTGAGGCTTGCCTTTCCTTACTTTCTAGGCAAAAAAGCGAGCCTTTCTTACACCGTCTCGTCACATGTGACGAGAAGTGGATCCATTTCGATAACAGGAAGCGGTCTTACCAGTGGTTGGACAAGTCGGAACCGCCAAAACCTACGCCGAAGCCGGACCCTCACCAGAGGAAGACTATGGTATCAGTTTGGTGGTCCTCCGCAGGAGTGATTCACTACAGCTTTACGAGACCTGGTCAGGCGATCACGGCGGAGGCGTACTGTCAAACAGCTGGAG